TGCCTCACCTCGCTGAGGTTTCTGCACTGATTCTCGCGGTCGATCGACGCGCCCGAGTGCCGTGTCTGGTGGGGCACGACCGTCACTCCCAGCGCCTCGCCGCAGTCGTTGAATACCCTGAGGTACTCCCAATAGCTGAACCCCCAGACCGCCTTCCGAGACTTCTGACCGGCCAAGATACGCAGGAGAGGCCCAATGAACCTGAGCCAGGGGCCGTCTAACATCATCGAGTGGTCGAACACGCCCATCTGGTCGGGCACTCCCTTTTTTCGCCGGGTGCACCAGCAGGCCCCAAGAACAGTGGGCCGACTTCGGCGCCTGGAAGCTTTCGGGCCCCAGCGCCAGGAGGCTGCTCGGACGCAGGTCAGTACTCACTGAGAGCAACACGAACAACGCCATGCGCGCCTCTCCGCGCTTCGCCATCTCGTTGGCCATTCCAGCCCAGAGGCAAAACGGCTCGGGTCGGCGCGACCTCCGGGAGGCTAGCCGCCGCCATCCCTTGAGCTCTCCAGGCCCTTGGGGCGCGGCGATCGCCGAGCCGGCCGAACCGCGGCTCCGCGTGCATCAGCGCGGCCATCAGCTTGGCCCCACGATGGGCCTGCTCCCCCAGGAAGAAGTCCCGTTCGAACAGGCGCACCGGCGACTCGTCGACCTCCGCGTCGGTCACGCCTTTTAGGTCGCCGATTCTGCTGAAGGCTTTCCACCGATCCAGCTCGTCCTGGTACTGCCTGAGGGTCGGCCCCTGCGCGGCCCGCTGCTCGAGCAGGCTGCTTCCCGTGTTCAGCAGCTCGTAAGCCTCCGACACGTAGTTCACCGCCGGCCGTCTGCGACGCCGGCGGAGAACTCGCTCTCTGCTCGCGGGCGGCGGCTCGGCGTCCTCGGACGTCGTCCAAGTGCTGCTGGAGTCGCTCTGCTGAGCAGCGGCCCGACCTGACGCCGCGGCGCGTCGGGCGGCGAGGGGGCCCTGCTCCTGCCCCAGCAATGTCTCCAGCGGCGGCTGGGCTGGCCACTCGGCTGGTTCCCAGCCCCGAGGGGGCCGGCCCCTGGCAGCAGCCGCGCGCGCCCCAGCCTCGGCCGCTCTGCCGCCTGCTGGATCGCGCTCAGCCCCCTCTTCCGCTTCGCGAGGCCCGCGGCCTTCCCTGGCGCAGCGGCGGAGGGCGCCGCCAACGTCCGACGTCTCATCGGCAGCCTGGGGCCGGCCAGCGGCCAGCCATGGGCTGCTCTCACTGTCTGTAACACGGATGGGCTCACCTGAATCTCGATCGTTGCCAGGAGGGGCAGGCGCCCCGCTAGTTTGAGCCAAATCGGCTACGAGACTCGGCGGCGGCGGACACTTAGGTGGCAGCGAGAGAGAGGGGGAGACAGTAGCCCTATATGAAGCAGACCTCCTGTCACGGGTCTGCGCTCCATCAACCTTGGAATAGCCTTCCCCCCGAGACGTGCGCACTGCCCCCTTCGAAGGGTCGTGAATTCGAGAAGGGCCGTCGGCGCCGTTGAGCTCTGACGGCATCCACCGCGCAACCGCATGTATGTTCTTGGCTGGGCAGTAGCTACAAAAACGGCGCACTTGATGTAGCAGAAGATAACCTCTCGCGCGACATCTATCGAAGGCCAGACAGACCGCCATGCTATCTACCAACAACAGCTGACGAAGGCTCCGTCCGAGGGTGAGAAGAGCAACCCCACGAAGATCCATCGCGAGGGCGCGGGCTCCGAGGCGCACAACACCTTGTTTCCAACGCCGGGGCCCCCCCAAAGTCGGGCTCCACAGCAGCGGGCCCAAACCGACCCGAGGCACTTCCAAAAACTCGGGGTCGAGATCCCGGGCGCCGGGGGGGCAGCGCCGCCCTTGAACCTAAGGGTCCTCCGGTTCCTAAGACACTCTCAGCACGGCTCACCAGGGCCTCAGAGGTTCCTCCGACGTGATCCCCCCCAAGGCTGAAGCTCGGGCGTTCGCCGCTTCGGGCGCGACAGACCTGCCCCTCTCACGACGCCGGCCCGTCTCCTGCACGAGTTCACGGGGCCACCGCGCCCCAGCCCCGCCGAAACGGTGTTCCTACAACAAATTGATTCCAAGGTCGAGACCGATCACTGCAAAGGAACACTATCAAACCTGAGGACACGCGAAGCTCCTCAATCACACTTGGCCACAGAGGTTTTCACATGAAGGTCGTTTTTCTGAACAGAAGCGCAACAGGCGTGGGAACAGGCGAGCACAAGCCGCCGGGACATCGCCAGGAACGCGAGATGTCCCAGCAACACCTCCAGCGCGCTGCCCGTGCAGCGCCCGCGCTCGAGCAGCCCAGCGATCGCCTGGCGGGCCCGCGGCCGCCTCTTGCCTGACGCACGGGTCCGCATCATCTGCCCGTCGATCTCCACACCCAGCACCTCTGTGACCCCAGAGGTGACGGCCTCCTCGTGAACCAGCAACCCCTTCTGAGTGAAGGCGTCGGTCACGCCCTCGAGCGTCTTCACAACACTGGCCCTGTCTGTTCCCAGCGCGCCCATGTTGTCGACGTAGATGTAGTGTCGGAGGGGGGCCCTGTCGCTCGCAGCCCAGCACCAGCGGCCGTCCGCGGCCCCGCAGCAAGGCGTCCACACCGAGGGGCTTGACACTGCTTGCAAGCTCCTCCCCCGACGCCTGGCAGTAGAACAGGCTCCGCGAGAAGCCCATCGAGAAAGCCACTGGGCAGGGCACCGCCTGCTCGTTGCCCGTCAGCAGCTGCCCCATCCACAGTCTTGCCAGCAAGCCCCAGGGCTCCGCTCCGCGCTGGAGGGAAGCAGAAATAGCGCCGCAAGAACAAGGGCATCCGCAATCGGTGGAAGGCGCCCCGCACGTCCGCTAAACCTACCGTGACGGACAAGCTCTCGCACAGATCGTCCACCAGCTCATTCTCGGGTTTCTCACAGACGTCCAGATCGAGGTCGATGCCGCTCAGCCCCTCCGCGGCGATCAGGTCCACGCTGGGTGGCCGCCTGAAACGCTGGTTGGAGCGCCGAGCATCAAGACTGAGTCGTTGGCGCTCACGGCCCTTCTTCCACATGCAGTAGACGCCTACCATCTCAAGCGGCCCAAGCGTGAAGTTGAGAAGGCCACGCGCCATCAAGCCCTTCAAAAAAGTTGCGTACACGGTCTTGCGGTTCACCAAAGCGGGATCGCAGTAGTACTGAGTGCCGTCGGGCGCGAGGTCGGCCTCGGCCTCGCCGACGGGTTTAAGCACGCGCTCGCCCTCCCGCTCCAAGAAGTAGCGGCCCCGTCTGCCGCAGACGTCACCGATGAAAGGGGGGCTCTCCACCGTCTCGGGTAGCGACATCTGGCTTTGTTGGAAGGGCGCCAGCGAGTCGTTGGCCGCCCCCGCGCCGCACAGGGACCGGCCGCGCGGCAACTACCGCAGGGCCACTTGCGCTGTCGGGGCGTCGAGGCCGCGGCGCGCGCGCTGCTCGCCCTGGGCCAGCCCGCGCACGTGCCGCCTCACGTCCTGCTGCATATCGTCAAACTCCAGCTGGGCCCCGTGCCCGAGCTCGAAGCCACGCATCCAATTAAGCGCCTGCCGGCCAGTTCGCACCCTCGCCGGCGGAGCCGCCACCTTGCCAGCCGCCTGCCGCCTCGCCGATCGGGTCGCAGAGGAGCCGCCTCCAGCGGCAAAGGGAACGCGTCTCTGCTTCCCGGGGATGCCGCGGCGCGGCCTGCTCCCACTCCCGCTCGAAGGCGGTACGGGCTGGGGGCGCGCGCCCGGGCCTCCTGGCCCATCATTGCTTCCCGGCGGAGCCGCGGCCGCGACCGCGGCCACGTGCCGCCGCGCCCTGCGCCGCCCTCCGCCTTCTCGGTCTCCTCGCCGTTCCCGTCGTCCTCCTCGCCGGCCGCTCCCCAGAGGCTCCGAGTGCGGGCGGTGTTCAGCTCGTTTTCGTCCTTCGCCTTCTTGATGCCCCGCTGCCGCAAAGCTGGCGACGCGCTGTCGAGCGCGCCCCCAACTCCCTCGCAGTGGCGGACCATGCGCCAAGAAGGACCTCCTGCGCCGCTGTAGGCGCCCACGATCGAGGAGATCCGACGGCTGATACGCTCGAAACACTGAAGGGCTGGCATATTCAATTGATCGAACGTCCCTCCGATGTGCACTACCTCGATCAAGTTGTGCGGCTCGTGATACACCCTGTCGTCTTCTCGATCCGACGACCTCTGCAGAAACCTGCCAGCCACATCTTGGGATCGCCCCCGTTCCGAGCCGTCTGATTCATCCAGTGGAGCAGCGACGGCGGCCCTATAACGGGCCCGTCACTCCAGTTCTCAGTTCGAGACTCCAGGCACACTTGTCGCCACTCCTTGAACCTCTCGCCACGAGGGTCGTCGTCCACCCACAAGGTGCGACACTCGTCGGGCGCCTGCCCAGTTGTCCTCGCGAGGCGTGCTCGTGCCCTTGCCCCCCGCCTCTACGTCGACGACCGCCGCTGGCCTGACAGACGCCGAAGCCTGATCCAGCAGCTGCCTCACGGTCGCGTCGGCTTCCGAGCACTTGACCAGGATGCATTTCACGAAGAGCCCGCCGTCGTGCTGCTTCATCATCGTCTGGTCGCCCACGTTGACATTCACGCCCTCGACTGGCTCGACCTCAAAGCCCGCCGCGTCGGGTCCCTCGAAGCCGTGCACGATCCAGCAGCAGCCAGCGGTCGCCCGCCTGATAGGGCGCACGACCGCTCCAGCAGCGCCTCCAGCAGGCTCCAGCGGCACCAGTGCGGAGTCCATGTCTCTGAGCGCGATCGCCGGCAGCGCCACCACCGACCTCGTGCTGTCCACGACGTCTGATGGTGGCGGCTGCGGGGTGCCCGCGTGCGCCTGCGCGCGGAAGAGCTCGACTGCCTTCACCAGCTGCTTGTCCGTGGGGTACTCTGTGAACCTGTAGAACTTACCCCGCAGCAGGCGGGGAGCTGACGCGTCCAGCCCGAGCATACAGAGCCGATGCGGGCCTGGCCGGCTACCGTCCAGCGCGTCCTCGTACTCGTCGCCGTCGGGAGTCATCACGCGCCAATTCCAGCCCGGCAACGTCCCGAGATCCTCGGCGCTCGACCCGATCAGCAGCCGTTGGTGCCAGAGCGGGCCCCCCCTCGTACTTCACAGCCACCAACTGCCCAGGCCTGAGCCTAGGCAGTGTGGCCTTTTCGGTGCCGACGTCGCCCGTCTCCGTCACCAGGCGAGCGTTCCTCGGAAGCAGCGCCATCGGGCCCGCGCCTCTGCCACCAGCCGCGCAGCTGCAGCAGCACCGACACGCCGCCCAGCGCCCAGCCCAACCACTGGCCTCCTGGGGCCTCGCACTCCTGGCAGTCGCACGCGCACTCCGCCGGCACTGTCTGCGAGCAGGCCTCCTGCGGCTCGGGCTCGCTGGAGCTCCCGCCGCCAGGAGGGGGCCCCGCCCCGCCGCCCCGCCAGGCCTCGAGCTCGCTGACCGTGTCCGCCCCGATCCCACGCACACTCGGGCCCACGGGCGCAGGCAACGCGGGCCGCTCGGCCTCGGGTGCCAGCCGCCGCACCTCAGGCAGGCTCGCCAGCAGCACGGCCCACTGCCAGTGAGCCAGGCTCGTGCTGAGCATCAAGGCGGCCCGCCCCACCGCTCCCCGGTTGATCTCGGGAGCCAAAGGCTATATCAGGAGACAGGGGGATCGACAGGAGGTGATCAACAAACATTTCTGCGCACGCACTCCCATGCCTGGGAGACAGCAGCCCCAAACATTATCCAGCCCGCCCAAAAATAGAGGGAAAATAATCTCCGCCGCGACGACGACGACGACGACGACGACGACGACGACGACGGCGGAGACGACGACGACGACTACGGTAACGACCACGAGGAGGAGCAGGAGTAGGACGAGGAGGAGGACGAGCAGGAGGAGGAGAAGGAGGAGGAGGAGGAGGACGAGCAGGAGGAGCAGGAGGGGCGAGTTTGTTTCCCGCCGAGAGAAACCAGGGGGGGAGCAAAACTCAAGACCTCCTGCGGTTTCGCGACGCCCAAGCTGTGAGATCTTCGCGGATTTCCAGGTCGCCGCGCGGTCCGTCACCACGCGGCCTTGGAACCCCCAAGAAAAGGCCCTGGCCCAACCCCGAGATCCTGGCGTTGCCATATTTTTGTTGGCCACAGCTCGGGCCCCGGGCACCCCGAAGGGTCGATCCGTCCAGAGAAACGCCGCAGCAGGATGGGGCGTCGGGCCCCAGCCCCGGTCCGCCGCGATGGCGCGACGGTGTTATAAGGGCGGCGCGGAAAGATGTCTTTCCGCTCGTCACACACTGGGGTCGGCGCGCAAATGGTTCCACGACGCGAGACTGAAGACGACCGGATAAACCGGGAACGTCCCACGAGACGCCGCCCAGAGCACAGACGCCACCTGAAGCGGGAGGAATCAGGCGGGGAAGACAGCCGAGCAGAGCAGCAGAGGTGAACGGACGGGGTGAGACTGGCTGCACAAAGGCTCTGAACGGCGCCCGGGCACCGCACCATGAATGGACTCCGTTCAGGCCCCGCCGAAAAACGATGCATCGCACCATTCCTGGGTCGAGGATCGACGACGCCTTGGGAGATGCCAGCGCGGCGTGGTGCATATAACTTAGGAGATGCCAGCGCGGCGTGGTGCATGTAAGCCGCCCACGGATAACTACAAGACACGAGGGGCGCGAGCATGGAGGGGGATGAGGGATGATGATGATGATGATGATGATGATGATGATGATGATGATGATGATGATGATGATGTTGAGGATGATTATGATGATTATGACGAGGATGATGCTGATGATGATGATGTTGCTGATGATGCTGCTGATGATGATGATGCTGTTGCAGATGATGATGATGATGATGATGATGATGATGATGATGATGATGATGATGATGATGATGATGATGATGATGATGACGGTGGTGGTGGTGGTGATGATGATGATGATGTGGTGTCCTCGAGTTGCGCCGAGGTCGGTGGCATCAGTCTTACACGCCCCGTTGGCCATACTCAGATCGCCGCCACCGTCTGCCTCTCTCGCACGAGCTGGTCCCGGCATCGGGCCCCCACTCTCTCTCGTCAGGCTCCCACACTGGCGACAGGGGTCCGCAGCAGCTGCTCGCCTCCCACGCACTCGCCAGGACCTCGAGCAGAAGCTGTCGACGCTGGGTTCCAGCATGATCCCCTGCATCTCGCTGAGCAGCGCCACGGGCCGCCGCCGCTGCCATCGCGTCTCTGCCGTCTGGAGGTGTACTGTAACTCGCTCGCCATCGCTCGGACGTCCATTTCCCGTGCATTTTTCGGTTTCACGCGTGTTTTTTTTTGCTCGATGGTCCAGGATCGTCCTCAATGGTTCTCGCCGAGAAAAAATGCACACGTCCGAGCGATGCCAGGCTGGCGCTGGGAGCCCAATCCTGCTGCTGCTGGCCGTTCCCAAACGCGACGACCCCAGCGCTGCAGCAAAAGCCGGTGCCCTCACACACCTGGTTGATCTGCCACCAGGCCCGCTGGCACTGCTGGCTTTCCTTGCAGGGTGGCCCTAGCGCTAACAGCTGATGCTCTCGGGCGTCAGCATCGCCTCCCAGAGACAGTGGAACTTGGCCAGACATCTCTTCCTGAGTAGCGACAAGACCTGCTGCCGCTGCCGGCCTGTCTCGCACGCGCTGACCCCAGCGCCGTAGCTGGTGATGTCGGGCTCTAACTTTGCCTCCCGCATCTCGCTGATCAGCGATCACGCCTGCTACCACTGCCAACTTCTCTGGGACGTCCTGACTCCAGCGTTATAGCTACCTACATTGGGTTCAACGCTCGGCTCCCGCATCTCGAGTAGTAGCGACAAGGCGCGCCACCACGGCCCGCCTTTCTCGCATGCGCTGACCCCAGCAAATTAGTTGACGACGGTGTCGGCTCCAAAGTCGCACCCCCATCTCGCTGAGCAACGGCAAGGCCTGCTGCCAACGCATGCCATTTTCATACGCGCCGGCCCCAGCGTTGTAGCTGAGGACATCGGGCTCCATCTTCGCTTCCCCGATCTCCCTCAACAGCGACACAGCCTGTTCCTGATTCTTGCCTTGATCGCACACCTCGATCCCAATATTGTACGTACTTTACTGAGCCTGCTGAGTATTCACGTGCGCATCGCAATAACGAGTAAATCACTGAACGACTCAAGCTTCACATCCCGCGTTTCGGTGAGCATCCAAATCGCCTGTTGCCCGTGCCCACCCCCATCGCAAGCCAGAGCCCCAGCGCTGAGGCTGATGACGTCGGGCACCAACTTCACCTCCCACATCTGTCTAAGCAACGACAGAGCCTGCTGCCACTGCCCGCCCTTCCCGCATGCGCTAATCCCAGCGAAGGTGGACCCCGAAGTCGAATCCACGGCAGGCGGCCTGATCTGATCGGAGTGCCCCTGGTGTCAGGTCGAGAGGCCTCACGGCCACAGTACCCGGGAGCCCGTGGCCCGCAGCGCCCCCCGGAGTTCTGGCAACGCCGCGAGGAGCTGCGCGTGGACTCATCAGGATGCCAATCTTAGGGGTTCCGTTACTTTTTGAGGGCGGATCCCTAGGATTGTCATCGCCTTTTGGCGCGTCGATCTTAGGGATAGGGATACGTTCGTGGGGAAAAACGCATTGTGGGGGACAACACACACACACACACTCACACACACTGTGGGACAACATACACAAACACACACACACACTCACACACACACACACTCTGTTTTTTTATGTTGCAGGCGGCGTGCTCGCGACCAGCATCCCCGATCCCAGCAGGGCGCCTCGCCACGCGGCCACGAACCCTCGAGCCGCACCTCGGCACGAGCGCGCCGCCCGCAGGCGAGGCTCTGGACGCGGCTGTGCGGACCCGCGACCTCCTCCTGGTATGAGGAGGAGGAGGAGGAGGAGGAGGAGGAGGAGGAGGAGGAGGAGGAGGAGGAGGAGGAGGAGGAGAACGAACGAACGAACGAACGAACGAACGAACGAACGAACGAACGAACGAACGAACGACTCATCAGAGGTGCGCCAGCACGGGTCAATGCCCCACAACCGACAACAAAGCGGAGTAATACCGCTCGGAATTACTGGCAATCGCATCTAGAGTGCGCCATGATCCGATCAACAGACAGAACCACGCGTGGCCTCGTGGCACGGTGCTCCCACCCACCCCCTCTCCACGGCTGGGTTGCCACGTTTTGAAAACGGCAAGCCGAAGGGGCAGGGGCAAAAAAGGGTGAGCTAAAAAGTCAAGCCTACGCAGGCCTCCGACTCACGCGATGGCCCCCCGAGAGAGGGGGTCGCCACGCGAGAGGAAGGGGGGACGACCCAAAATCGGACACGAAAACACCCCAGGAAGGACAGGATTTAAGCAAACGCGCAGGGAGGGCCCCAGGATCCAAAACTATTTACGCCTGGGGGCCAGCCCTAGGAGATTCATTACACTGCTGAGAGGGAGGTTCTGACTGGAGGAGGAGGTGGAGGCGGCAGATATATTCTGCGGCCCAGACGAAGTCATAGAGGAAGGGTCCGCTGAGGTACGGGGCGCTCCCGACGTCGACGGAGTATACCTCGTGGCCCTCGGAGGCTGTGCCATCGGTCCTGTAGCCTTAATCTGAGCTGCTGGCCTTCTCATCTGCGATGCGGGACTCGTACTCTGTGGAGCAAAAGGCGTAGTAGGAGCCGACGGAGTGCTCAGAGCCCGTGTGGCCTCCTCCTCTGCCCTCAGCAGGCAAGCGGGCCGCCACCGACAGCTCGCCAGAATAAGCGTGCGCTTCACTGCTGGGGCAATGGGAGGAGTAGGCCCTCGCCGTCCGTAGCAGGCACGCGGAGAGAGACTGGATCCTGGATTCCTCACCGTCGTGCTGTGTAGGAGTCGACCCGATACCGAGAGCAGGTGTGGCCTCCTCCCCCTGTTCCTCAGCAGGCAAGCGAGCTGTCACCAACAGCTCGCCAGAATCAGCTTGCGCTTCACTGCTGGGACTGAGGGGGGAGTGGACCGTCTCCCCTTGCTGTAAGTATGTATTGGGAGACTGGATACTGGATATCTCTTCTTCGGTCGGTGGTGCGGCCTCCTCCACTCCCCCCTCAGCGGGCAGGCGAGCCGTCACCGACAGCTCGCCAGAATAAGCTTTCGCTTCACCGCTGGGCCGAAGGGAGGAGTGGGTTGTGGCTCCGTCCTTCATGCCCATCAGATTCAGATGGCCTCGAGGGCGTCCAGGTGCACCTGCGTCACTCGAGCTCCGCGACTCCTGGGTGGGATGCCGTGCTTGTGCTTGCCCCCGAGCTGGACTAGCGCGGCCACCACCGCGTTCTCGAGCTCGGGAGGGTCGACCTTGAGCCACACCTTCACGAACTCCCCCGTGTGCGTCGTCTGCATGCGGCAGTGGTGGACCTTGTCGGCCAGCAGCGCGTTGCTGGGCTTCTCGCGGTTGACCGTGGCCATATGCGACTGCAGGGCCTGGGTTGAGCGATCTTGTCTCCTTGCGCAATGAGCGCTCCTACCAGGGCCAGAAAGACGTGGGGATGAGGAATGCCCAGATCTTCGAGCGCCTGCACTAGCTGCCCCGCAGCGAGGCATCGCCTTGATCACGTCGTGCTTGCTCGGCATCTGCACGCGCCTGTACGAGGCGGCCTCGAGGCGGTCGATCGAGTGCTCGCGACGGAGGGCGAGGCGCGCGAGCACGGGGAATGCCGCCTGAATCCACTCCAGTGGCATGAGATCTAACCCTTGGGCGTCTCTTGGCGCCAGGCCATAGTGGTTGCCGACTAGCTGCATGACGTCTGTGGCTCGGGGGGGCCCGCCCGTGCCAGTCGCCGCTGGCGTCGCCGACGGGGCCGCGCCTCCCGCTGCGGGCGCTGCTGGCGCCCCGTCGGCGGCCCTGTCGCCGACCAGGGCCGCCTCCGCCACGGTCGGTGCTGCGAGTGCGGTCGCCGAACCTGCCCCGAAGTTCTTGCTCTCGCTGTTCGGCCCCAGTGCTCAGGGCCCGCTCCGCCAAAATTGGCATCGAAACACAGGCCTGGCGGCGGCTGTGCGTGTACTTCTCGTATGTGTTGTTGAAGCGAGGCAGGAGTGGGAAACTCTCCTTGAGCCCGAACGGCTTCCGTGAGCCTCTCTCGACGATGTGAGTGCACGCTGTCGGGGTCGACGCAGACAGGGCACATCGGGGCCTCTGGGACCTTCAGAGCGGGGGGTGCGGGGTGAAGTCGGTCAAGCATCTCATCAGCCTGAGGGACTGGGCCACGCGGCGCCTGGCCATCATCCCCGAAGAAAACGTCGAGGGGCAGTAAAAACACTGATTTGTCACAATCAACTGATGGGCGGGGACGCGTGCTCTACGGGCAGGGCGACGACAGCGATGGGTCCTGAGTGCGGCTTTCGTCTGGAAGACCTGGCTGCAGATTATCCCCTCGGCATCGGGAAACTCGCACGCGCACTCGTTCGGGCCCCCCAGGATCTCGAGGGGGAAGGGGTGGAACTTTAGGCTCTTGACCCCAATGGGCCCGTCGGAGCCCCTTGGGGCCCACGCTGCTGAACGCCGTCGCGACCCGATAGTTCGAGAAGATGCCCCGAATCGAGCGCCCCTGGTCAAGGAAGTGGCGGCCATGCGGTATCACGCGAAGCGTCATGATATCCTCCTGCATCTGGAGAGCCCAGGGGTTCGCTTTTGGATGTATCCAGCCATTTTCCAAGAACGCAGGTCGCTCTTGCAGTGCAGGAAAAATGTCCAAACAGAGCTGCTGTCACCTGCACGCTCGCTCCAGGGTGAAGCGCCAGGTTTTGCCAGTAGCGTATCCTGCGAACTAGCAGCTCCGTGCGTGCACCACCGATGTGTAGCCTCTTCCGCAGCATCCAGGCCTTGGGGGCCCTGACCTGCTCATGTTCGCCTTCGCCTCGCCTAGTAGCAACTCCACGAAGGGCAATTTTGGCAAACCCCAAGATGACCTTATCCAGCCTATCGTAGCCCCTCTTCCCCAGGATGTAGGTCTCGATGCCCGAGTAGGCCGCGCTATGTATAACTCCCAAGAAGGCCATCCGCTTGAGCTCTAAGGCCGTGTGTTGATTCCAGAACCCAGCTCGCACCACGCCGAACGAGTCGCATCGATACGAGCCCGAATCTCAGCTCCACATCCCCCCGACAACTGCTCGAGACCTCCAAGATACACCGCCTGAGCTTGAGGAGCGCGAGAAAAACAAGAAATCGTTCCCGATAGGACAGCCCGAGTAGACGTATACCCTCCAGGACCCACGAAGACTGGGAGAACCACCTCCTTGTCGGCGTTTTGAGCGAAACCCCCTTGTTCCCTGAGCTTGCTGGAGAGGAGGCTGTTAGAAGTACGCGCTAGCGCAGCAGCACGAAACGGACTGTTGTCTGCAATCGGCAGCGTGTGTTAAACATCGTCGGCATAGTCCCTCATGGAGAGGTCGATGTGCCGCCCTGCGATGGGGCAATCGATGAGCGTGGCAGCCTCAATCAGAGGGACCTCCGCGTCACCAATCTCGATCGTGTCGCGGCTCTC